GGTGCCTCCACACCCCACACCTGGACCCATGGTGCCTTTCACCTACCCCCTCCCCCTTTGTACCCCTTCTACCTGCCCTCCTGCTTGACCCCATCCTACCACATGCCCCTTATGCGGTGCCTGCACCCCCAGGGACCTGCCCCACCCACCACTTTCCTGCCCTTTTCCACCCCTGCTCTCCCTTCCCCTTACTGCTTTGGCTCCTGCTGGGGCTTTGCTGAGGCCCAGAGCAGGGAATACAGAATATGTACTGCCTCCAGCCCCTACCCAGCCCAGCCACACAGAAGCTATAATGGCAACAGTTTCAGCCACCCTGTGGCTGGAGGCAGCATGTTCTCCATGTTCCCTGGCTGCAACCCAAGCAAAGGCCCAGCAGGAGCTGGAGTTGCGGGAGTGGTGGTGGGGTGTAAAGGGCAGCGGATAAAAGGAGGGGTTGCTCTTTATGTAAAATAGCTGTATAACAGTTCAGAGTTTCAGTATAAAACGGGAAACAGCCCTGTTCAAAGTCACTAGTTTAGGGTCAGAGTGAACAGCAACAAAGGATAATGTGGTGGTTGTCTGTTATAGACCACCAAGCCAGGAAGACGAGATGGGTGAGGCTTTCTTCAAACAGCTAACAGAAGTTTTCTGATCACAGGCCCTGGTTCTCATGGAGGACTTCAAATCACCCTGACACCCAGGGGAGGGCACTACAGCAGTGAACAAACAATCAAGGAAGTTTTGGAGGGTGCTGGGGACAACTTCCTGTTGCAAGCATTGGAGAAGCAAGCTAGGGGCCATGCTCTTCTTGACCTGCTGCTCACAAACAGGGAAGAATTGGTGGGGAATGTAGAAGTGGGTGCCCGCATAGGCAGCAGCAACCACAAGATGACTGAGATCAGGATCTTGAGGAAAGGAAAGAAGGAGAGCAGCGGAGTACACACCCTGAACTTCAAGAAAGCGGACTTGGACTCACTCAGGGAACTAAGGGGCAGGATCCCCTGGGTAGGGAGTCCAGGCGAGCTGGTTGTACAGTAAAGAAACCTTACTTGAGGCACAGGAACAAACCACCTTGAAACACAGGAAGGCTAGCACGTATGGCAGAAGACCACCTTGGCTTAGCAGGGAACTCTTCAATAAAGTAACACAAAACAGAAGCTTACAAGTGGAAACTTGGACAGATGACTACGGATAAGTATAAGAATATTGCTCAGACATGCAGGGATCAAATCAGGAAGGTCAAAGCACAACCAGAATTGCAGCTAGCAAGGACTGTAAAGGGTAACAAGTAGGGTTTTTCTACAAATACGTTACCAACAAAAGAAAGATGAGGGAAACTATGCATCCCTTACTCAATGAGGGAGGCAGATGATGTGGAAAAGCCTGAAGTACTCAATGCCTTTTTCACCGACAAGGTCAGCTGCCAGAATACTGCACTTGGAAGCAAAGTTTGAGGAGGAGGTGAGCAGCCAGCAGTTGTGAAAAAACAGAGTAGGAACTATTCAGAAAAGCTGGATGTGTACAAGTCTACAGGACCAGACACAAGGCACCCAATGATACTAAGGTAGTTGGCCAATGTGACTGCAGAGACGCTGGCCATTATCTTTGAAAATCTGTGGTAATTAGGAGAACCTGGATGATTGGAAAAAGAGCAAATGAGTGCCCATATTTAAGAAAGGGAAGGAGGAGGAACCAGGGAACTACAGACTAGTCAGCCTCAGCACAGTCCCTGGAAAAATCATGGAGCAGGTCCTCAAGGAATCCATTTCTAAGAACTTGGAAGAGAAGGAGGTGATTAGCAGAGATCTGGATTTCCCATTTCCCTTGGAAAACTGGGAAAAACACAGGGAAAAACATGGATTTTTCATTTTAACAGAGAAACACGTAATTTTCTACTTTTGCAAAGAGTTCCAGCCTGCAAGAGGCTGTGCGGAGTGGAAGGAGGGAGGTCAGTCAGGAGGCACCATGTGCATGTACACGTTCACACGTGCACATGGCTGCCAGGCAGCCTGGAGAGCAACTCCCACGGGTAAGTCTGGCAGAAGAAGAAGGGGAAGGGAAACTGAGGCCCCCAAAGGGAGGGAATTGGGCAGGGCTGGGGCTGCTGCCCAGCTGGGGCAATGCATGGAGCTTGGGGCCCAGGACCAGAATGCGCAGCCACAGGGCCCAATGGGGAGTGGATCAGATCCACAGGCAGCTCATTTGAGTGGCGGGGGGAGGAAGAAGAAAAGCACATGCCCCCCAAATTTGTGTGCAGGGGAGGATTTCATAGACATTAGGGCTGGAAGGGACCTTGGAAGATCATCAAGTCCAGCCCCCCACCCAAAGGGCAACAAGTCAGCTGGGGTCATAGGATCCCAGCAAGATAAGCATCCAATTTGCTCTTGAAGGTGTTCAATGTAGGTGCTTGAACCACCTCCGATGGCAGGCTGTTCCAGATCTAGGGGGCTCGGACAGCAAAAAATTTTTCCTTGTGTCCAGCCGGAAACAGTCTTGTAGTAGTTCATGACAATCGACTTCATCATCCCTTGGGGCGCTCTGGTGAACAAACGTTCCCCCAGATACTGGTGGTCACCCTGATAAACTTGTAGGTGGCCACCAGATCACCCCTGAGCCTGCGCTTTTCCAGCCTAAAGAGCCCCATGGCTCTCAGCCTGTCGTCGTAAGGTCTATTTCCTTACCTCTGATCATGCGCGTGGCTCTTCTCTGCACTCTCTCAAGCTTCTCCACATCCTTTTTGAATTGTGGAGCCCAAAACTGGATGCAGTACTCCAGCTACGGCCTCACCAAGGCCGAGTACAATGGGAGAATGACATCCTGGGATCTGCTTGAGAGGAATCTATGGATGCAAGCCAGCATTTAGCTCGCTTTACTAGTCGCAGCATCACATTGAAGGCTCACTGTCATCTTGTAGTCAATAATGACCCCCAAGTCCCTTTTGTCCGT